TGCTGACCCTCCTTGTGCATATGAACCATCAGCCTTTCTGACTGATTACTAGAACTCATGCACACAAGAGGTTGTACAGGCAACTCCAGGTATGCCACTTCCCAGCTTGGGAAAGCCTGGTAGTCCCTTACTATTTTAAGTAAATTAAATAGTATCATGCTGACCTGTACTGACCCCTGCAGTGGTTCATTAATGGTGTTGAGACCTTTAGGTCAACGGTTACTTCTGCTACCTGTAATTGTGGAAGTGGTAGTAGAATTATACTTTGCGGACCAGCCACTAAAAAGACACATAACTGATACTAAGTTTGGTACTGACAGAATGATGAGACTGAGCATCTGTGGATTCAATTCTAGTTTCTGGAAAGGTATATGATTAAAGTGACTACAGGCGACTGCCTATGTATGCTACCCTGCTTTGCATGATCAGGGCAGACCAAGAACACAACCAGCAGTTTCTTGCATTTCAGGGGTGCCAAAAACTCACCTGTGCCTCAGGTCAGATCCAGATCACAGAGTTCCTTGCGGGCTGGGTCCAGAATGCAAGGAGCTTCCCAGTCCAAATCTGGACATGGTGGTGGGGAGGCAAGTGGCAGTGCAGGGGTTAACACAGCTATCACTTTGTAATCAGTTCTATGACAGCAGTGGTACAAAACAACTCAGTTTATTTTGCTGTTCTCCACTACAAACTGGCTGACAAATTCAGCTGTATCAAAAATGTTTATTTACATCCAGATAATTTGACTACAGTGCCAATTCTGATGCAGTAATGCACTTACCAGTAATATGCAAAAACATCGATTACCAAAAAAATAGATTTCTATACAAGGCCACTCCCGCACAGGATTTTTGTCAGTAACAAAAATTAACTCCGATTGCTACAATTCAACACGTTCCATATGACATGTAGTTTCAGAAGGAAAGTATTTAAAAGATGCTATAACGAGAATGCAGTAACAAGAAAAAGCACCATGGCTTCTCTCCAGGACAGGGCCAACTATGTACTCAACCCCACCACCTGAAATCACAAGATCAGAGCCTGAAGCATTTAGGGTCACATTTCAGAGAAGTGCCTCCGAAAGAGATTTCCCTACTTAGCACTGGTCTCCATTCTTCAGGTGTTCTTTAATTACACACAATATCAATGGAAGAAATTTTACCAGCTCCAAGAGAAACCAAGAAAGAATATTCCTTAAAAACATGAGCTAGTCATTTCTTTGTTCTTCAGGATGTGTATGTGTAGATGGGCATTTTGATTTACCTAATAAAAATCCCCTGAAGAATTACTGGACTTTTGGAGAATCCCTTATTCCAAGATGCAATAAAAGGCCTCACATTCAGTTACTGTGGAATATGAATCAAAAACTTCTTCCCCTTCTTTTTTGTTTGCTACCTGTTCCCAGATATAGAACTTTAATGGTGGAATTTATGGCAAAGAATTCATCATCTGTGACTTCAGTATTCAAGGTGTTGTGCATTCTTGTTTTTCCATGTTTAGTTCACCATAATGAAGTTAGATTTGCAATGAGCTTAAAGAGAAAACATAGAAAGATATTTAGTATGGCACGCTTATCATAAGTGTTTTCATGTGCAGTGTCTGCATTAGGTAACTGGCCTGCAACATTTTGGTAAGTTAGTTTAGGGAACTAGACTGATCTTTGTCCTTAGGCATGAGGAAGAAGGCTGTATCACTACAGATTTTACAGAATGTTAACACGTATGTACACAAACAGGTAAGAAAAGAACAAACATTTCTTACCTATAAACTCAGTGACAGGGTCATGTTCACCTTCTGTTTTAATAGTGCCTGCAATGCTGTCGTTCTCCAAGATTGGAAGGAAAAGCTGTACAAAGTCTGAGGTATATGGAGGAGCAATTACATCAAGCACCTGAGATGTGAGAAAGAACCACAAATTATTGCTCCAGTTTTGTTTGACAGAGACATTAATCCTCCCATAAAACAAACTACTCTTGATTCTTTCACATAACCCCTCATCTTCAAGCCATAAGGGCAGAATTAATTGGCTGATGTTGCAGTCAAAATCTATTTGAATCACTAAGGAAATTTCTGACCTCTGAAAGCAGTTTTCCATGTCCTACTAAGGATCCAATGTTAAATACCCTTCTCAACACCTTAGGTATTTATGCCTTGCAGTATATATTATATACAAAACAAAAGTTACGCCCAAAACATTATAGAAAGTCAACTAGCCTTAATAAAAATAAAACTGCATCTCAATGTTTTAGTTGTTCTGTCCCTTTTCAATGTATTACCAACATTAACAGGCTGCTGACCTCAGTAACAAAGTATCTAATGAGTGAAATGTCTGTGTCTAGCTTCTCCAGACACTTGCGGATATAACTGACAACAGGTAGGACATATCCTCGACTGAGTAAGTGAACCATTCTGTCCAGAAGAGTTTTCTTCAATTCCAGCTGAAAGAAAGACAGAGAAAATCCCGGTGTGTTTCAGTAAGAATTGCCTCTAAGAAAAGGTGTCATTCTTGTTCGTCCTCGTTAAATTAATCTCACAGGTAACGTTTTGTAATGACATATTCCTGAAGCAGTCTCTATTGGGAATGCTGGGTCAGAAGACCCATTTCTGTGAATCAAGTGGCCGGTAAGGGGCAACACAAAGAACAAATCCTGTAAGAATCACCTGTTCCATAACATCAAGTTGTGAGTGTTCCGTTTCAAAGAGCTTAACAAGAAGTTGCAGCACCTGGGGATGAAGCAGCTGATGGCACGTACTGATCTGCAAATATAAATGCGTAACATCACCATTTCTTCCAATTTAAAAAGAATATTCAAGACAGGTGTATACTCATTTTCAAAGTTATGGATTCGGTGAAGGTTAAAATTCTTCAGGAATGAGATAATGCACAGCTGCCAGTCACCCCTTCAGCGTGTGGAATAAAATCTGTATTAAAATTCCTGTAAATTTATTTCATAATTCTGAAATTAGTTTAATCTCTGCACGTTTACCAATATCCAGTCACGTAAGCTATGCAACACAACATTTTTTAAATGAAATCTTCATATTTTCCCAAGCAGAAAGCAACTGTGACCACCTGAAACGTGAGATGCTGCTCCTGCCTTTGTTTCAAGGTAATATGCATCATCACAGAACCTCACAAGAGGTAAGAGACTCCATACCAGCTATGAACTGACTGCCCAGCAGAGTTTTCCATCTATTGACTCCTCTGTGAAATCCTATGAAATATGAACTTTCACTTCTATCCAAGAGAACTTTTACAATATTTTCTCCAATGCCTGATGAAGGGCACTTGTGCCTGAAAGCTTGCAATTAAAAAAAAAATTATTTTTTTTTTGCAAAAATCTTGTTGGTCTAATAAAAAATATCATCTCTACCACGAGTCCTGATTACAACACAGCATAAGCTTTCAATGGCTTTTGGATCAAACCCTTAGAATCATTCCAGTCACAAGCCTAAAAAATTGCTGTTGCTATTCTGCGAGACTTTCCTTACACTCTTACCTCATCCAGTAATGCCAGATGTACTGGAGTGTGATCAGTCTGAAGCTGAAAATATCGTGGTTCTGAGACAGTCCAGTCTACCCACTTTAATACACCCATTGCCACCACTGGAAAACTAAGGAAGAAAAAGTCATATTAGACAAGCTAAGTCTAAATTTTCTTTCCTAAAATGTGATCTTTTAGCCCACCCTAACACAGTTCAACCAATGCTGGAATTAATGCAATTAGGAAAAACAAACAAAATGTTATTTCTGCTATTGAATATTCAAACCAGACTCCCGTAGGAAAGAAAAAGGAGACAGATTTTCAGACTAGAATTTCTTTTCCTTTCATAGGGACACTCCCTCAGCACATAAGTTAAGTCTTAATGAGAGTGGGCAGAAAGATTCTCTTTCCCCATGTCATTAGATGTTAACTTGGTTAGGCCCAAGATGTTGGGTCAGGTTGCTTATTATCAACTATTTCATACTTTCTAGAGAAGAAAGGAAAGAAGGATCTCAATGCTAAGAAAGAAATCTGATGAAAAACAAGTAACCTGGCAATAATTCATCATCTATTTCTAACTGAAGAATAAGAATTTTCCACAGCACATTACTATAATCAGACAGGTTGCCAGAGTTGATACGATTAGAGACAAACGTGTATTTCAGTTTCTGTCTCTTCACTTTGTAATTAAGGCCACTGGGCAAATTTTCCAGATGTATATGCACAAGGACATTCCCCAGAACTACACGTAAGGATGGAAAAGATCTCCATTAGTGGCAGTGCAACTACTCTATATAATATACTCTAGATCATTCAAAAAGGAAGGACAGACAGAACACTGAAAAACTATTTATGTTATTCTGAAGTTACTTAAGTAACACTGAAGTATAAAACAGTTCAAGTTGCAGGCATTTAATTTCCTTCTTTTTAAATGTTAGTATTACCAAAAAAAAAAAAAGTGTACTTTCTTGCTAACCAGTGAAGAATATCTGCTCAGGAATAGACTTTCTACTTACCGGATACACTGATATAGGGTGCTCAGCTCTGCAACCAGTTCTGAAGCACCTTTGTTCTCATTGCAGCACAGATTATGAACAGTTTCAATTGCTTTTGAAGTTGACTTGAGTTCATCCTTATTTATACTCACTCTCTTGTTCTGAAAAAAAAATCAAAGGGAATGCATATCTGATTAAATCTTCGGGTGCTTATGAAAAGAATTACTACCTAGCACAGGTGTCAGAATGAAGACTTGCACATAGGTTTGTTACAACAAATGGAAAAGTAACAAGTATGTTTCCCTTCTATTAAAGTTGAGCATCAGTTTGACTTTTAAATTAAAACTAATGGCTGCCAAAAGGAGGGTACTGATTACCTACCACCGAAGAGACTTGCTCGTTACCCTTTGGAATAAAATTGCAAAAAAAATTGCAAAAAAAGTCCAGCACATTCAAAGCATCACCTATTGGTGCATATGTGCTGAAAACCTACTGCTTCCAGTGATTTCAGTTGAGCTAGGAGTTAACACATTAAAAAAGTCAGGGTCAGGCAAATTTAATGTAAGTAATGATGGCAGTTAGCCAATAAGCCTCAATATATTTATTTTAATACTTATATAAGCAGACAATCCAATTTTACCTTTTTCCATGTTTCTACTACACTGGCTGCATATGCCAGTATGTGAATGTACTTATGTTTGTGGTCCTGATTGATCTTGGCACCTGGCTTAAAGAGTGACTGCATGAAAAGGTCCAGAAAGGCAGGTACTCGAATCTGCAAAGGAAATATAGTTACTTAACATAACAGATTTAATTTACAATAAATAAATACACATACATACAAACAAATATTTGTATTTTGGGTACACACACAAAATAGGGCACAATGCACTGCCCTTGAGGATTGGGCTAGATAATTCAATGGGCTATATTTTTAAAGAGGCCCAAGTCAGCTTCTGAGGGAGGAGAGGCAAGGAAAGGGGCCAAGAACTCAGTATGCAGTCAGGTAGCAAGAAATCTAAACAAGAGCATTTGTACTTGCAAGTAAGTGTGCCTGCCACAGGCTGCAGGCACAAAATTAAGCCCCTTTTTAAATGTGTCCTAATAATCTTTCCATCTTCACCTTCTTCAATATTTTTACAAAACTTCCCCATTAGGTACAAAAAGGTACCAGTTTTGAAATGAATAATTCAGCCCCACACATAACATCTAACAAGGTAAACAATACAAATAGTCTGACCCATTTTTATGTCCTTTAGAAAGAAAAGGAAACAAGAGGAGTCTCCAAGCTGAATAACTGAGTGCTGGCAGGGACTTCCAATCTTTCAGTTGGTGTTTGTAGAGCATTAAAAATGATCCTCAAACCCCTATTATGGGTTCAAAATGGTAAATGAAATAGGTGCAACAGAAATACGTTTCACAGTATAAAAAGGTAACTACAAACCAGTTCTACTGGAGGTGGGTCCATGCTGGTAAACATTTTGAACAGGACTGTGATATCTGCTGGGTTCAGAGCACCTTTGGACAACATTGCACCAAGAGCTTGACACGCTCGAGGGTAGGATGCTGCAGTACCCAGTGCTAGCGTGATCTGACTGGCATCGTGGCCTCTTGATAAAAAACAAAACACACACGCAAAATCTTATTTTTCTTATAAAACAAACACATTAGCTTTTCAGCATGTGCCACCTAATGTGCAGAGAGAACCCTTGAAGGCAGAGCTCTATATTCAAGGAAATTATAGAAATGTGTTTATATTTCACCAACAAGTTTTTGTTTCCAAGATTTGAACAAGGTATTTTAAAAGAAACTTTTACAAGATAAAGACACCAACATTCAGTCCTTCCTCGTACAGGATATAAAACATTTCTGCCACTCTGTAGAGGGTATGTTTGTTGGTTGCACTACAGGAATTCTTACTATACACTGTTTTATCCTACCATGAGGCAAATGAAGAAAGCCAAGAAGTCTCTTTAGCTATGAACATTCAATTGAGAATAAGCAACGCTGAGATTGTTTAAGTTACTTTCGTGAAAAGAACTTAGTGAAGTGATCACATGCAAATTAATAAAAGACTCACTTTTCATGGGCGTATCGCTGAACCTCCTGAGCAATCCTGCGCACAGCAGATCCACCTTGCTCTTCTTGGGCTAATATGGACATCATTGCCTGAGCAAAGAGATATGTATGCTCTCCATGGCACACCATTTTCTGTGAACACATTTATCACCATGTTATCATCCAAGCTGAAGTCACTTTTCTAAAACTATATTGCTATAACAAAACAAGTCATAGTGTAAAAGCAATAAACAAGTCATTGCAGGAAGAGAGATGCAATAAAAAATCCAGTGCAGAAAAGTAACACACAATAGTACTATCCAGGAACTACAAATCAATTTTAGAGCTTTGCTTCACTTTCCTACCATTCCTATGTAATGTGAAGGATCTCTCTCCCATTCACTGAACCAGGAGACTTAACGGCTGTACACTATGCCTCTCATTAAGTTTGCTCTGCTATTTAGTAGAAAATAGCATTCACCACATTACTTCACACTCAACACTGATGTGGCTACCACTATAATTCTTTTAACCCTCAGTAGAAGGGATGAAGATACTTCAGTTTTAGAATCCAAAGCCACCTGTGGATCTCCCTCTCGTCCCCACCCCTCAAACCACCTTCTAATCTCTTATCTGTGAGGCACTCTAGGCAGTTAGACACACTTAAATGATATAAGATGTGTCACCCTAGAGCTCCTAAATTGACTAAAAGTTGCCTGGCTAAAGCTGAGTTTAACATTAGCAAGTCCATCCCTGTGTGTTCTTTAAAACCTTGTTGTGTTCACTACTAGGTGGCCAACTAGATAGGAACACAGGGTCTGAAAGTCAATGTAAGAAGTACTTACTACAATTGATCTATAGTGTCTAGAAGGCCTACAGGCACAAATTCCAGTTTCCTATTCATATACTTAGCATTGGAGCAGCTGTATTCTTTTCCTATATTCTGATTTCACCTTCTAATTTTGTAGAGGACTAAAATCAACTTAAAGCAATATCCATTCTGTAAATCCTATGGTAGAACAGCCCCAAAAGAACAGAGGTCCTCCTTGAACTCCTGCATCAGAACAAAATCTCTTTCTGTGTGGTTCTGGGTTTTCTATAGTGCAACCACTGTGCCAGAAACAATACCCATCTATTACTTGACAGCATGCGCCAATCATGACATGGAATTACAAAGGATCTGAAAATCCTCTTAACTGTATTAGCTTGGTGTGAAAGTGCAGACATCTAAGAAAATGTCATCTCAGCAGCAGCCCCTACAGCCTCCATTGGCCAAGTCACTGAACACGACAGAAGAAAAGCTAATTTTAACAAAAACTTTTGGTACTTTTTGAATTGACTCACAAAAAGAGACTGCAAAACCATTTTAAAATGGAAGATTTTACACCTCCTAACTCCAGGAAACACAAACATTTCTTTAGACCAAAGAGAGAAAAGCACTTACAGCAAACTCAGGGAGGTTCTTCTCCAGGTTGTCTTCCCCTCCATCTACAATTGTAGCTAGAGATGTACGTAGCACTCGAGAAAAGACTTCTAATTGCTGACATGCTGTTGAGACACTAGTTATCTCACCCTGATACCCAGCATCAGAAATAAGCTAAATACAAAAAAAAAAAAAGAAGTTAATTTTTGTATCTCAGCAAAACCTAACAAACCTAGATGGAACGACAGGAACATTTAACAAGTTCTTGAGTATGTCCATGGAAATCATATTCTGTATCTAGGCATGATTAGAAATAAAGATACGAGGACAGGTGAATAAACCATAGTATATACTATTATTGTCAGCATGTCGTATTTCAGGAGAACCACACTTACTTCAGCAACTCTAACAAAACTTAAAGTGCTTAAAATTTAAATGGAACAAATGCCCAAAAGAGTTTAGGAAGATTACTTTGTGTTCCCTTTGTGCTATACCAAGTTTCAAGAAATACGTTTCCAACCTACAATTTGTCTCACATTTCTCATTAAGAATATGCACTTAAGCACACCAATACAGTTGAAACAAAAAACAATACAATACAATACAATACAATACAAAGATCTAAAAGGCATAAGGTAGATTACAGATAGCATTTGATACAGGAAGCATCAGCAACTATTTTTTTCCATAGCAAGCTATTTATTGTTTACCTTCACAGTAAAATTAAGCATTAAGCAGTCTGGATGGGCTTCAGCCAGTTTGTAAAAAAGATCCCTCCATGTAGTATGTGCTATCATTTGCTCAAGCCAGGCTGGAGTCTGCAACAATCAGAGCAACAGAGAAAATTGCAATACTGTGGATTGATTTTTTTAGGACACCATAAACATATATAAAATCCCAAGAAATCAATTTCTTAATGTCTTTCAAGATAAGGTTTTTTACGTGTACTTGAGGCATTACCTCTCCTTCTTCTGTGAATATGGAATCTGCTTTCCGAGGGTCAAAGTGTTTGATAAGTAAACTTTTCAAGTGGTTTTCCACAGTTTCTTGAACCTGCACTGGCTCAACACCTGCAAGAAGACATGTTTAAGCTGTTGGTGTTAACAGCAACTATAAAAAGTTTCTCACAACCATCTCTTATCATAGAGCTGAAACTATTTAAGGCAGCAGTTAGCAACCTTTTAAAGCGATGGGCAAGATAAACCCATCTTGGGTGGAAGGCAGAAAAGTGCTTCTGACCCAGATGCTGCTTCTCCTTCTCCCTAGTACCCAGCTCCATGGGCCAGATCTAATGGCTCTGCAAGTCCGTTCCAGCCCACGCACCATACATTGCCAACCCCTGGGAAAGGGGTTGCCAAAAGGAAACTGAAAGAAAGTATTAAAAAAAAATAATCACAGTACAGATTGCAAACTATGTTATAAATCAGAGTAGGAAGATTCAGGATTTCTCTGCCCAAAAAACAAAGATGCACTCAATGTGCTGAAGATCACAGATACATGTGTACAGGTTACACTAAACCAATGATTCCCAACTTTTTCAGATTCAAGGCACCCCTTGAGAAAACACCAGCTCTTAGGTTTCACTCATTTTTTGACTACAGAAAAATAAAGAGCAATTCTTATGTTGCAAAGAACTCAGAAAGTTCACAACAGATCAGAATATTTTTGGTACTATGAACTTATATTTGAAATCTCTGGGTTTATCTTGTGAATTGCGTGTAGGTGTGTGCACACTTAAAGAGTGGCTGAGAATCACCACTGACTCTTTTCGTCCCCTGTCTTTCCCACTCAGGTGACTAAGCTGTCAGTGATATTTACACAACTACTAGTAAAGTGATATACATATCAAGCATTGCCTAATGACAAGGAGGACATATTCAGGTGCAAACCCATGTGGCCACAAACCAAAAGACTATCATCCCATATGCCAGGGTCAATTATATGCCCACTTGCCTTGATGATATTGTAAATGCCAGTACAAGTAGTGTTTACATAACTGACTGTAACTTTAATAAATTAAAACACTTCCAACAATGTTATGCATTAATTTCATGCTAACAACAAACAGAAAAGGTCCAGAAAAATTATACTGCACATGGAGTTGAAGAAGCAGACTTGCAGAAGTCGAAGGAAGCTTAGCAATAAAATATTCCCATCCTAAACAGTACGTAGGAAAACTGTACTTGGAGAACTACGCATGACCCACAGAAACAGACTCCAATTAATATAGCAGCTATATTTACACTGTGAATTAAGTCACTCTATTATAAGACACCAAGTATTTCTAAAGCATCTCTCATACTAAAAACTTTTCTTTATGTTACTAGGAATAAAAATAAAGGAACAACTTCAGTTTATAACAGCATCAACTTTATAAAGACACTCTCATGGACCCAGAGGGACAGTTTTCCATGCAAAAATGAAGTTTATTTCCTACATGTGGGGACTTTTTACCATCCTGAACTTTCCCTGAGCCCGACGAAGGGCGCATGAGCCCGAAAGCTTGCAGAAAAAGTTATGTTTTTTGCAATTTGTCAGCTAGTCTAATAAAAGGTATCGTTTTAGTTCTAGAAAAAGCTCTAGACTTTTTCGTTTCAACTTGATAACACGTTTCGTACTACAACGAACGGGTGTTTTTAGCGTACATCGCCGTCCCGCGCCCCCCATTGCCGGGGCAGATCCGCTGCGCTAAACAGCTCTCGCAACACCGCACGAGCATGGAAATTCATCCCGGCACGAGCAGGGGATATTTTCTGAGCCCATAAAAAAGAACTTACATCTATTGCGAGTAATGACTTTTATGCGACAACTTTGACATCCCCGGCTTTTGGGGCACGAGCTTTGCACCCGCTAGAAGTTGAGCAACGTCAGCTCCGCGAGGTAAAGGCCATCCGGACTTGCAGCAGAGAGGATCTCTTTTATTAAACCGACGAGATTTTGGCAAAAAAACCCCAAACCAACCCCCACAAAGCTGCAAGATGAGGTTGCGCCACTGCCCGTACCCGTTTGAATGAGCCACTCCGCCAGCAGGTTCACGGTCTGCGCCACGGCCGTGTAGTTCTCCGACAGGAGCTGGATGACGTTCTCGGGGGAGCCGCCGGCTTGGAAATACCTGGGAGACGGGTGGGAAAGGGGCAATGACTCGAGCACAAGCAGACACGACGCGAAACCACGGGCGGGCTTCGACGGCAGGTCCCGACGGGCCGGGGGACGCGGCACACGTCGTGTTCACAGCGTGTCCCGTGGAATAAACACGCCATAAACATCCCGTGTGCCAGGCCCGCCGCTGCCTACCTTTTGAGCGTGTTGAAGATGGACGGCTCCATGATATAGTCGCTAGTGGAGAACTTGCTCAGACACTCCTGCTGCCCACGGGCGGGCTTCGACGGCAGGTCCCGACGGGCCGGGGGACGCGGCACACGTCGTGTTCACAGCGTGTCCCGTGGAATAAACACGCCATAAACATCCCGTGTGCCAGGCCCGCCGCTGCCTACCTTTTGAGCGTGTTGAAGATGGACGGCTCCATGATATAGTCGCTAGTGGAGAACTTGCTCAGACACTCCTGCTGCACCTCCGCGTCGTCCTCGCCCTCGCCGTCCTCGTCGTCCTACGGCCGCTCCCGGCGCCTCAGCAAGGCGGCAGCAAAGGCGCATGCGCAGGGGGCGGGGCCGGTGGCGAAGGGGGCGGAGCTGACCTGCCGCCTCCCGCCAGGACCGCCGCGGGCTAGTGTCACGGCTCTGCATGGCCCGCCTCCAGGTACGTGACGCTCCGCACTGTGCCAAGGCCTCCAGGGCTATGACACGCCGCTGCCGAGACACTCCACTCCACACCATGACCTCCAGAGCCACCGCATGCTAACACGCAGCACCGCACCACAGCTTTCAGGTCCATGCCACGCCAGGGCCTCCATATCCACGACACACCAATGCCGAGACACTCCACTCCACACCATGACCTCCAGAGCCACCGCATGCTAACACGCAGCACCGCACCACAGCTTTCAGGTCCATGCCACGCCACGCCAGGGCCTCCACGTCCACGACACGCCAATGCCGTGACACTCCACCACATGCCAAGGCCTCCAGGTCCATGGCACGCCAATGCCATGACACTCTACACTACGCTAAGGCCTCCATGTGCCGTGACACCACCACATGCCAATGCCACAACATACCAATCCCTCCAAATCCAATGCACCAACCAGACTTTCTGGGGGATGTATTGTTTGCAGCGTATTGGCCAAAACCCCTTTTCGTGGGAAGAGCCTGACTTGAGGCTTTCGCCTTGCAGCCACCTCCCCTACAGCAGCACCATACCTGGACTCCTGGCGGCCCCAAGCCAACTTTTAGTATGGGCCCCCTGATAATTATCATTATCCCTTCAGCAGAGATGATGATCATAAGAATTAAAAATGACCATTTTCAGGCTCCTTTTCTGTCCGGGCCTCTGGCAGCCGACTGGTTTGCCCATGCCTGTGTCCAGCCCTGGCTTACGGGATGGGATTGACAGCAGCAGGCTCTGGGCAGGCAGCTTGGCAGGGTGAGTTGCGGTCCAGAGCTTAAAGAAACCAGTTTCTGAGTAATGCCTCAATCCTCCTCTCTTCCCAGCTTGTCTCTGGCTGGGAAGACAGGAGGTTTGAGGCACTGGCCAAGAAATTGGCTTTTTCGAGCTGTCTGTTATCTGCCAAGCCTAGGCTTCTTCTTGCCTTCAGTATCTTGCAGGTTCAGGCTCATTGGTGAAAGCTGGTTCAAGCAAATTTGGGCCCAGCAGCATTCAGATCCAAGCTTCAGTAGTTGATATTTCCATCCTGGTTCACCCGATAAGCTACAATATCCACCATCTCTTGCAGATGAAAGGATGCCAAATCAGACAGTTCACCCTTCCCTGCCCTTGCTTATGAGGTTGGGGTACTGCTGTTATTCCCAGACAGCTGCACAGGGAAAAATATACTGCATCTCAGCCAGCACCCAGTAAAGGGGCAGAGATCCACTCTTGCAGGGTAATTCCCTCCGGCATATGCCCCATCACATGCATCACTGAAGAATGGGTCTTACCGTTGTACTACATTGGTGGCCCCTCCAAGGTCCTTGCAGTTACGGGTCAGTCTGTGCTGAACACAGTGTTGCAGAAGACTTATTTTGAACCATCGCATAAATTGAGCCACGAGTTGTAGCTCAAGAGAAGAGAGCGGGAGATGGAGATGGGTGTTTAGATGAAGCATATGGAGATGGTTAATTTGTAACCAAAAATGACATTTTTGTTGTTTTATATTTATAGTCTTAAAATTTCCTCCGCTGCATTGTACACAAATACAGGTCCATCCATTTTCTTTAATATAATTAAATATACACATTCAAATCCCATGTTCCAGTTACCATGCATTTAATAAAGCAGAAAAGAGCTTTGATGCCTCTCCCACGCAAAACATTCTTCTTGTTGCTTTACTGACATTCCAGTATTCACTGCCTCTATAATTAGACTTTGTTATGCTTCGGGTATTGCGGCTGTTTCACATACTTGCTAGAATTGAATTGTTCTGCTCTTTTCCCTATTTTTTTTAAACATGCTTGTAAAACCCACTAGTTAAGTTATGGGGGAGACTGTTTTGAGCACGGGCAGATAAAAATAAAAAGTCAAAATGAGCAATTTTACCATTGGTGTTTTCCAGTGAGGGGTGGGTGGGTGGTTTTGCTCTGTCTGTTCCAGTTTAAATGATTTAGCCCTGGTTACAGTGGCTACCAGAAATCAAACACTAAATGCAGACTTGTATCAACAAAAGAAAGAATTAAACTAGATGGTCATGGCAAGAGGGGAAAAAAGAGAGACACTTTGTATTTGTGACTGTTGTTTAGTAGGTACAGATTTCTAATGTTCTTTGAAGCACTGAGATGTCAGGAAAGCCAATGATAATTTTTTAATTTTAATTTATCATTTTAAAATTAAAATTTTATGACTACTCTGTTATTATTATTATTATTATTGTTATTATTATTACTGCTCCATTGTGGTAGAACCTCAAGGCTACAACCAGGTTAAGCCCTATTGTTCCAGGTAACGCGTGCACACAAATTAGTCATATGACAGAGTGCTTAACTCTGCCTTTGACTTGCATATTCTCTAGAGAAGACATCCACTTGTGTAGTCTTGTGGACACAAACTGTTTTATCTTGCTTGTTAACATTTAAAATTAGTTTCTTTATAGAGCTCTGGAAGTAATGAGTAGATTGTATTAGAGCCAGAGCAGCTAAAAAGTTTGCCAGAGAATCACTGTTTTAGGAAAGAGTCGTGTTCCAGAATCTGAACTTTCTTCTTTTACATATATATTTCTGGCCTTTCTGGATGTGAAAAATCTTCCTGAGTCTCCAGCCAGCTTGAAACACAAGAGCTGTGAACCTGTGTACTATTTCCTTGCGTAGCTCATTGTAAAGCCTACGGATACCAGTTTTAACATAACCATTACTGTCCGTTTCTCTGCTGATGAGCAAAGAGAACAGCCAGAAAGCTGTAATCGTGAACCTGCACTACTCAAATTCTTCTGTGCTGTGCCCACTTGTACAGTCCATCTATTCAGACTGAGGACTATGGACATGATTTATTTCTGCTCTTTACACAGAAAGTAAACAGCTGGAATTAACTTTTTTATGTTGGTCTTAGAATAGTCTACCTGAATTTGGCATCAAGCTAGAACGATTAAAACTATTGTAACCTAAAAAGTGTTAAAACAAGAAAATAGTACCACAGGGGTCTCTTGTAGATGGAAGACTGGAACAGCTGTAGTAAAATAAAAGAAGGGAAGTAGGGTGGAAGAAAACTTAAAAGCTGAAACTAAAAACAATCAGTCTGACCTTAGGCAAAGAGATGGGTAGTATTGAGACTGAGAACATGTGAGGGGGATACACAAAGTGCCTTTGTCTCCGTTCAGATTCATTCCCATTCTTAACTTGTGTAAGAGCTTAAAATGTGAGAAAGAGGAGGAGAAGGGTGTGTTCTGGGGTCTGGAGGGCAGCCAAGTGCTTGACTGATGAGTATTTAAAAGCTCCTTTATTTGGAGTTGAAACTCCCTTTAAAGTGGAGGGGAGAGAGAGAATCGTACGCTCTTCTACACACAAGAGCAGAAACTATCTGTTCAAAAATATTTTTCAGTAAGACCTTCTGGGACATATTCCCTGTCACACTAAGCTTGAGCAAACAGACTGTGTTAAAATGTTTCTGAGCAAACTCCAGTCCTACTACTGGGAAGTGGTGGGAGAGGACAGAAGGGATGCAGCCAACTCCACCTGGAAAAGGGACACGTGGCACAGGTTCTTCAAAGTCCCCCTGGGCAGGGAAGTGGACAGGGAAAACGAAGGTGACAACGACCTATCTGGACCTGAAGACAGCGAGGAGGACATCAACAGGATCAGCAGCAGTGGAAGTGACATCAACAGCAACAAGGACAGAATGAACTGAGAAGGGAAACCCCAAACCAGGGCCTGGACTAAGCGACTGTGTTTGGGTTAGGGAAGGGCAGAGTGTGGGTGCACGGGTTTCTTAAGGTGGTTTTAAAAGAAGGTGTGAGGGAAAGTCTATGATAGAGGGTATATAAAAAAATAAATAAAATTATACACACACACACACACACACACACACACATATATACATACATACATATACACATTATTTATTTTTTTTTAAAACACATATTCCCTGAGATGGCCCAAGGGCTAATATATAGGCATTTATTCCACCTGAAATTTCAATGTAATGCAATGTGTTTTTGCTTCCCTTGAACTTTTCCTGAATTACGAGATAACACCTCCTTATTCTACATGCAGGGAAAGGAAGGAAAAAGAAAAATTCTTCACAAAGAGGATTTGAAGATAAAAGGAGCAAGAAAGAGGCCTGCAGCCTTGTTTTCCACCTGTTCTGACAGATTGCCTCTTGGCTGCTGGCGACTAAGGCAGCAGAGTGACATTTTGGAGCTTAAAGATGCGCTGACCATTTTTCTATGAAGATAGACTGGGAAGAAAAAGTGACAGGCTAAGGCTGGAAGCCAATGGAAACAACCTTGAAAATAAGAGTATGTTCATACCAGGGCCTGGGCTTGTCAATTTTCCTATCTAATTATTAAAAAAGATAGAAGATAAGCAGCTGTTTAACTCTTTCAGTTACTGCAAATCAACTATTAACATACTCTACATGCTATGAAGACTAAACAAGTAGAAACAGAGCTCGGAGGAAAGGCATATACATTTCCAAATTTGCCCCCACAAAAAGTGCAAACTATTTTATAACACTCTGACAGGGGACACTACATGCATCTTCAAGACTGTAACATGCATGTGCAAAAATGCAAGGGATAGTTGTAGGGAATGGAAGAGAGCAGAGGCTCTTTGGAAAACCAGGGCAACGCTGTCAAATTCTGTCCTCACTTAGGTTATCAGAAGGTGAGGGGGATCATAGAAAAGGGAACTATCTTAGCTCATTATATATAGTTCAGGAGCAGCAATAACACTCTTGGAAAGTAGCTTCTAATCCTACAGATGAACGGTGGAAACAGAGGAAAGTGGATGATAGCTAACAGGGCTCTATGAACATACTTCATATATATGGGGAAATAAGCAGTAA